ATTTCTCAAGAACTACCAAGCTGATTTTAATGTTCTTACTACTATTAGATGCTTCTTGATGAGCTTTACAACTTTGTTACAAGCCCAAGACTAATTTATTTAGTAAAAAAAAAGGTTTAGATAGGTGTGCTCCACATTCGGGCTTATAGTAAAATTTATATATAAAAAAAAATTATTTGTTCAGATAACTCGTAATTTACCAATTAAATATATTCTTATAGTTATATAAAATAGATTTGTTTAGATAGGCGTGCTCCACATTCGGGCTTATAGTAAAATTTATATATAAAAAAAAATTATTTGTTCAGATGACTCGTAATTTACCAATTAAATATATTCTTATAATTATATAAAATAGATTTACAAAATATCAACCTCATTAATTTTTTTTTTTTTTTAATTCAGTGGTCCTGCCTATTACTCTTTATTGGGAAGTACCAGAACTTATATCAACAGAGAAATACAATTTTCTATACTATATTTCACATAAGTAAAGATCAACTTGAGCTAAGCTCAAAGAATGACCTACCTAGCAGCATTTAGCTTCATATTGGATCCTCAACTTACTGAAGATATGAACTCTCTGATCCTTAGCCTTACAGCTGCATGCTTCATCAAAAGAACCAAATTAACAAAAGCACAAATACAAAAGAAAAAATAAAACAGAGGTAAAAGGGAGTATGATAAAAGATACAAACAAGAAAAAAAAGAGGTAAGGGGATATCGAGAAAAAGAGAAAAAAGAAATTTGCCTATTCTAATGATCACTATTATGAGCCTGTAAATGGTTTATAAAAATTATATACTACTAAATAAACCAATCTCTACTTTAAATTTATCTAAATAGTATATGAAAGCTCAAAACCAATAGAAAAATACTTCTTCGACCATAGAACGTAGGGGGTCGGTACTCGATTCAAGTCATAGAATATTGCTTAATCAGATTGTTACATTCGAGGCACGTGTCTTGACATGTTTGTTTCCTGTTGTACTGATTTAGGAAGTAAACAATAGCAACTGTTTTGGTGCATATGATATCAATCTTTTGGAGGGGGTAAACTGAAATACCTGATTTTTACAAAAATTTCCTTGAAAAAAAGTAGTGGGCCAATGAGAGTATGTGAGGTTCTTCTTGTAAAAGTTACAGTAGTATAGTCCAGTTTCTCTGTTTTTACTAGATATTCTTCCACAGGGACCCGCAGAGATGTTGCTTCCAAAATATCTTTTTGGTTTGGATGTCGAAGGTATGGAGAGTCCACTTCTTTTTCCTTGCTGTTCCCAGAAACTCCTCTAGTTTGGATGCCGATCACACAAAAGAGTCCATCACACAGACAGAAAAGGCTTGACCTTTGTGCAAACTGTCTACAATACCTGCACCTTGGTATATCACGTTTAAGAACTTCATCGACAATAGCTTGTAAAAAAGGGGCTTGACTATGATACCGGACCCACTTTTTGTTTATACACCTGCTTCTTGGTGTTTCACATATATAAGTTTAGTCAATAGCAAGAATAAAAGTATGAACCAAGAGTATCGTAGTATTCACTTTGTCACTTTTCTATAAGTTTTACTGTAGTTCGATTTTTTTGTTGTGGCCAAGGGATCGTCAAAAAGAGTTAAAAAAATAACTTAGTCATTAATTTTGTTTATAAATAGCAATTGTTTTTTGAAATTAAAATTTGTACCGATTTGGATAGCAAGTATAGGTTGATATATTACTTAGTAAAAATATAACCCAGAGGTGGCTACATTAATATAGATATTAATCATATCTTGCAACTATTTTAACTTATTTACCAATGGCTATAAAAAGAAATTAAAGTCTTTTGGTATCTTTGGTTCTAGAATGATTGCAGAGATCATTAAATTTTCCTGCTAAACACGTATATCTGGTGGTAAATTTGCATTTATAACCAGTATAATCTAGCAATCATCCAGCTTTTGATAAAAAATTTGATATCTATCAGTAGATATTATTAAAGCAATATCTTGATGGTCTGAAAAAAATCCTGAAGTAACCAATAATTTATATCAAAAGCTATCAAATACATCACCAATTTGGTTGCCAAGAGTATAATTCAATATTGATATATAATTGTATTGATAGCAAAGAATTTCTGTATGAGTTTTATCCTTATACTGCATTTTAAGTAAGTCAATAAGTGACCAATATGCAACTTTTTTTCGAGATACTTTGGATGTTGTATCAGATTTGTAATAAGGTTCTTTATATATTGAATATATATTTTTATTAATGAAATCACCTGTAAACTCTGTATATGAATTAATACAACAGTCTACAAATATTGGCTTTAATAGTACAAGATTTTCAAGACATTTTTCAAGTTTATAAAGAGTAATTTGAGGGATTTCCAAAACTTCAAGAATTTCATTAAATGCAGCCTCAGAAATATTATATTTGTTTTTAATTTGATAAAAGTTTAAACTTTTAATTAAGTTTTCTGTAATGTCTGTCAAATTAAAATTAGATTATAATAAAATTATAATCATTGTAAATTTATATTTTGATTATAAGCTTACCAAACTCAATATTTTCATTTTCTTCATTTTTCTCTTGAACTTCCAATGATTTGAATGGTTCTTCCTGAACTTCCAATAATTTAAACAGATCATTATTTTCATTAAACAATTCTTCAAATATTATACTGAACTATCCAGGTTAAGATCATATATATCAGCATGTTCATCACTAATATGATTATAATCATCATCTTGATTTGTCTGAAATGGTATTAATAAATGATTTACTAGTCATCTGGAGAGCTATGTAACACAGGTTACACAAGATTTATATATAAATTATAAATAGTAAATGTGGAAATTTTTTAAAAAAATGTAAAGAAACATTTTTTTCTTACTAAATAAATCACTCTTGAGCTTCTAACAAAAGTTGTAAAGCTCATCAAGACACATTTAATAGTAGTAAGAATGCTAAAATCAGCCTGTGGTTCTTGAGAAATCTTTAAAAAACGTTTCGCTAACATATAAAATTTCTTTAAAAAAATCAATTTTTTTTAAAGAAATTTTATATATCGGCAAAACATTTTTTAAAGATTTCTCAAGAACTACCAGGCCGATTTTAGCATTCTTACTACCATTAGATGTGTCTTGATGAGCTCTACAACTTTTGTTGAAACCCAAGAGTGACTTACTTAATAAGAAAAAAAGGTTTAGAAGAAATCTCTTCACATTTGGCTTAATAGTAAAATTTACTTATAAAATTTGCAGATCCTCTCCAGATAATAGATGAATTGTCTATTAAAACATCTGGTGAAGAAGTAGATAATATTATCAATATATTAGTAACTGGCAAGAAAGTTTGAATAGAAGTAGCCAGATATTGTTGTATTATGGGCATATTTGCTGGATCTGGTCAGATTTTTCTTTGCTTTGCTAAATATCTTGCATAAGTTGCTCTGCTAACTAATTTATCCTGGCAATTTGACTCATATAGATATCAGATACAAGTACAAAAAATGTTATTAACCATTTTTTAAAGATAAGATCAATTTTTTAATATTAAATAAAAATTTTATTTATTACTACTGATTAGAGGTGGGTATCACATACTTATAGTTTGTGGTACTTATTTGGTACATAACTAATAATATAAAAATCATAACAATATTGATAATTATCTAAGTTAAAATATATGCTGATTAAGCATTTCGCACTGATAAGTGTGTGATGCAATATTTACTACTGATTCTTTAATAATTAAATAAATCAGTATCACTATAAATACTATTTTTTTTTTTGAATCTTTTAGTGAATTGATATACAATTGTTTAAAAAATACTAATACAATAGAAAAAATAACAATCATTCAGTTAATATCTACAACCTCAACTTTGAGCAATGTTATTAATATTTTCTTGTATTAATTGATGCAGAGTCAACTTTACCCAATATGTTGAATTCTGAACAATGTATCAATTATATACTGTATTATTAGCTATTGACCCACTCTCACAGAACTACTTATAGACTCCCATAGTACTATTCATAAAATTATTAATCGACAAGTAGGGTTTTTTAAACAGGTTTTTTTTAGTTTTGTAAATATTTATTGAAAATTATTTGGTTAATATACTTTTAGTTTCCAAAAGAAACTACTATGAACTCAATTAAGTTTAAAGAATATGAGGACTATAGAGATGCTCAGAAAATGATTAAAAAAGATTTTTAATGGTATAAATTCTTAAAATTAGAAAAAACAAATTTAAATTTTAGGGTAAGCTTTGCAGTTTTGTACTTTCTTAAAAGAGCACCTTAAATGTTTTTTAATATATATTTTGTAATTTTTTCATATAATTATATTAAATTATTGTAAAACGATTTATGAAATCGTGCAGCGTCTTTATTTTCACATGGTAAATCTCTATCCTGGCAACCAAAAGGAAAAGCCAAAGAA